GTTTTTTTCTTAGATAGAAAACATTGAATCAATTTGACGCTATATAGCAATTGGTGATATATAAATAAACTGAATAGAATTGAACTAGTTAAAACCTTTTTTTCTTGAAGATTATAAACTACCAATTTGGAAAAAAAAAGGTTTTATGATCTTTAACATGAAGACTATAGACTTAATTTACCAATCTGACTCTATAACCGCATCCAGAAGGACAGTGTCCAGACTAAACAGTTACATTAACTTATCCTGTTTTAAGCTCTTTATTGTGTCTCGTCCCTGGCAACACAATAGCAGAACTCCAAAAAGAACATTAGATGGAATGACATTTTAAACTTAGTGATTTGAAAAGAAAACTTTATAAATGCTATCCACCCAGCAACAACAAGGTGGCCATATTTATGGTCCAATTCTGCTTGGCTCAGACTAGTTGGGCCAAATGTTTTACTTTTTCAGGGGTACTGATTGATAATAAGTACCTATGTTATAATTCTTATATCAAGGTCTGTATACTTTTCAAAAAATAAAAAAAAAAATAAGATAAAAATCTATTTTAAGAATCTTATCATTCAATGATGTTTGCTAAACATAAAGTCAGGCCAGATGTCATTCATAAAGCACATCAGGTTGTCAAAGCAATACAAAATATATTTATAAAAAAAACAGACCACAAATAATGCAATACCTAAACAACTCAGAGTGGCTTAGAAGTCAAGGAAAACATGTTTTTAAGATATTCAAAATTAGGAAGTGAAGGTGTTGGAAGAGATTTGTTCAACAGTTTAGGAGCCATGACTTAAAAAAGCCCAAATCCTCTAAGCTTCAACCTCGTGTTTTTCAAAACCAAGAGAAGCTGATCAGATGATCTCAGAGAAAGAACACAAGATTGAAACAGGGTGCAGATAAAAGTATGCTTAACAGAATCAATATAGAAATATTTTGCCACCACACTAATATTGTTAATGAGAGGACATACACGTCTTTATGCTAAGATCAGTTTAAACAGACCATTGGGCGAACCTGTTGCAATGGTTCCTTTATCTGAGCTCTGCCCTGATTTGTCAGCTCACCACAATGGACTCATTTCGAAATTTGTTTTTACACATTGCAGTTTAAAAGATTAAATATATTATGTAGCATCCCAAATATAAAAACTTTCCATAAGAAAAGGTTCCACATTACATCACACATAAATGAATTACTAATAAGTGACTAATAAAAAGTTATAGTTCCAGGAAATTTTATCCAAAATGCAAAGTCTTTACTTAGAAAGCACAAAACATTTATTCCAGTTTGATCATTTGTACATCTCTGATAAAATCAAATGTTTGCCATAAATCACCAGGTAATCTTACAGATTGCATGTGTATTACAAAGGCTGGATTTATTATGGAGAGAAAAACACACAAAAGGTTGTAATTGTAGCCCATGCCAGCTTTATGACATCAACAAGTTGCATAGGATCGTTTTTAATTCAAGAACCAAACAATAAACAATGTATTTACAAACATTTTCAACTTTTTCAGTCTTACCTGCTAATGTACAAATTATTTCTATCCACCTGTTCAGACCAAAATGTAAAAAAAAAAATAATTGAAGTTATCAATGATGAAATTTACCTTTTAGGTCTGAAAATACATTCAAAAACCAAACTAAAAGCATTCAGAGGAAAAAAACAGAGTTGCCATTATGCAGCTTCAGCTGTGCATCTACTGATCAAATATAAAGACCAAAAAGATTGGCAACAGCAGAATCATTCAGGGTCCAGCCTTATAACAGCTGATTGTTTGATGCTGTTTAATGAGTTCAACATAAGCTACCAAAAGCAGTACAAAAATCTCATGGATTTGAACATTTTAATTTCGATCCTATTTTTGTCTTATGCCAGTTTAACAACTATTTGAACTCTGGTGAACCCAAAAATGAATGAAAGAGATTAAAGCTAATTTACTATATAAAGAATAGAATCCAAATTATTTTGAATCCCTATTAACAAAACAGATTCTCTGCTGGTAAAGGACTGGCTTTCCACACCACACTATCATTTAAGCTACCCGTACATTAGAATTGCTTCCTTTACATTTAAAAACATAAAATGCAGCATACTTTAAGCCTTCCAAAGGCTTCATCTCTGCCGGTATCTGCTCGTTATTTCCAGTTACCTGAGGGGCATAAGATCTAAAAACAAAAACTGCATATTTTCCATCAAATGCAAAATATA